CATATCCCTCCAAATCTCTCCTATTCATGTACTTATCCAAATGTCTTTTAAACGTAATTGTATCCACATCCACCACTTCGTCAGGAATTCCATTCCAAGTGCAAACCACCCTCTGTGTAAAAAAAATTTGCCCCTAGTGTTTTGTTTTAAAAATCTCTCTCCTCTCACAGTAAATACACACCACCTAATCTTGAAGACCCCCATCCTAGGGAAAAGATAACTACCATTAACCCCATCTATACAGTTCATTATTGTATAAACTTCTACAAGGTCGCCTCTCTACTTCCTACACTCCAGTGAAGCAAGTCCCAGTCTATCCAACCTTTCTTTGTAACTCAAACTTTCCACAGTGAGCAGCATCCTGGTAGATCTCTTCTGAATCCTCTCCAGCTTAAGAAACAGACCCTTCGGTCCAACCCATTCAGGCCAATTGGATGTCTTAAATTAATCCATTTGCCAGTATTTGGCCCGTATCCTTCTAAATCTTATTCATGTACTCACCCACTTGCCTTTTAAATGTTCTAATCGTACCAGCTTCCACCACTTCCTCTGGCCGTTCATTTCATACATGCACCACCCTGTGTGAAGAATTTGCTCCCTAGATCCCTTTGAAATCTTTCCCCTCTGACCTTAAATTTTACGCCCTCTAACTTTGGACTCCACTGCCCTGGGAAAAAGACCTTGCCTATTTACCCTATCCATGCCCCTCATGATTTTATTAACCTCTATAAAGGTCACCCCTTAGCCTCTGACGCTCCAGGGAAAATGGCCCCAACCTATTCAGCCTCTCCCTGTAGCTCAAGCCCTCCAACATCCTTGCAAATCTTTTCTGATTCATTTCCAGTTTCACAACATCTTTCCTATAGCAGGGAGACCAGAATTGAACGCAGTATTCAAAAAGTGGCCCAACCAATGTGCTGTACAGCTGCAACATGACCTCTCAACCCCTATATTCAATGCAGCGACCAGTAAAGGTAAGTTTACCAAAAACCTCCTTCCCTATCCTGTCTACCTGCAATTACAATTTCAAGGATCTGTGAACCTTCACCCCAAGGTCTCCTTGCTTGGCAACGTTCCCATCCTAAATCTTATGATATTTTAAACAAAAATTTACACTTTCAGTGTGTACAGAATACCCTCCAGGGAGGATCTAGGCTGGGTGGACTGGCCATCCTAAATTGCCCATAGTATTCAGGGATGTGTAGATTAGGTGGGTTGTGGGAAGGGGGGGGTGCGCAGGGTGGGAAAACGGGTCTGGGAAGGATGCTCTCGGGGTTGGTGTGGACTTGTTGGGCCGAAGGGCCTGTTTCCACACTGTAGGGATTCTAATCATTCATGATCCAAGCACTAACGGCCCAACTAATGATACACTGAAGATTTCAGGCTGTTGCAGCACAATGGCAGTGTCTCTAACTCTGAGCTAGGAGGTCTGTGTTTAAGTCCAATCAACTCCAGATGTGCATATATGAACTGGTTAATTTAGGGAAAAAAAACACTATATTGAAAGATTCTTCAACATCCCAACAATGAGACAGTTCAGGGACTGGAGCTCACATTAATTCTAAGCCACAAGCACCCTCTACTGTATAATGTCTGAATTGCAGTTTCATTAGCCCATATCAAGAGGGACCTACCCTGACAAAAATATTTGACTGCAGGCACTCATCTCAAATCCTACCTCTGATCCTGGAGGCTCAGGTTTAAGTCCCACTTGCTTCAGGGATGCATAGCTGAACTAATAGATTTGAAAATATCCCATCCCAAATCTTTGGGTTGCTCCCTCCCCAGTCTTTCTCGAGGTAGTGATTTCATTACTTCTCAACAAAAAGGTGAGAGGAGAAAGATTTAGAACAGGCATGGGCAACTTTTTCTGTTTTCTTTTAAATAAAAAAAAAAATGGTCTATATGTGGAATGAACTTCCAGAGGAAAGGTCATTTGACCCGAAACGTTAACTCTGCTTTCTCTCCACAGATGCTGCCACACCTATTGAGCTTTTCCAGCAATTTCTGCTGCACAGCATCTGCAGTTCTTTCGGTTTTTAATCGCAGATGAAATGGTGGATGCAGGTATGGTTACAATGTTTAAAAGACATTTAGACAAGTATATGAATAAGAAGGGTTTGGAGGGATATGGGCCAAGCGCAGGCAGGTGGGACTGGTTTAGTTTGAGATACTCCAATGCCTGGATTAAAGCAACATCCTAACCAATAATGAGAGATGTCATACTCTATTATATCACTAACCTGTGCTGATACCTGGTGCAGAATAATATAGTGAGGAAAAATGCTCAGCACGTGCATTTGCACAAGCATAATTCAGGACACTCCAAAGCACTTCACATTTTTATAATAGTCAGTCAATGCTCATAAAAGTAGCAACCAATTTGTGCATGAGTCTCTGACACAGATCAATTCTAGAATAAGCAGACAAATTGCTTTCAGGTTCATTTAGCAATAGGTTTTGGTCAGGATACCAGAGAGAAATCCTTTGCCCTTCTTCAAAATAACACTGTGCAGTTCTTGATGTCAAGCTGAATGGGTGAGGTAAAGCTTTCTGGTTTAGTTACATTTAAGGGACAGTGCTTCCAACAGTGTAGCTCTCCTTTAAGTAAAGCACTTCAAGCATCAATCTAGAAGTCAGCATTAACATCTTGGCATTGTCGAGAATAGTGGGTGTTGGGGAGTGTCAGCTGGGGTCTGGTGCAGAACAATGTGGGTTCAATCCCCCCACTGTAGGTTATGGAGACCTGCTTTCTCACCCTACCTCACTCTCGGGCATACAGCACAGAAACAGACCCTTTGGTCCAACCCGTCCAAGTTTCCCAACTAGTCCCACTTACTTGCATTTGGCCCATTTCCTTCTAAATCTTTCCTATTCATGTACCTGCCCAAATGCCTTTCATATATTTTAATGGTACCTGCCTCTACCACTTCCCCTGGCAGTTCATTCCACATACGAACCACCCTCTGCGTGGAAAAAGTTGCCCTTCAGGTTCCTTTTAAATCTTTTTCCTTGCACCTTAAAAAGTATGCCCTCTAGTTTTCCAACCTGGGGAAAAGACCTTAGCTCATGGAGTGTTTACCATTAAGCTAACACATAACTAATGCTTCTTGAAGAAAGATGCCTATGATCCTTTGTGGACTATTGCACTATACAATTGAGTGATTTTTTTTTAAAAAAAAAGATTAGTGTTAAGGCCCTGGTGGAGAATGCTAAGTACATGTCAAGTTTTGCAATTCAGGAAACATCAGAAGTTTTGTTTAAACATTGTAGCTGATTTAGAGACAGCATGTCTCTAGCCTGTTCTCATTAGGATGATTTACAATTATAAATGCCATATCATTCACAAACAAACAACTGCATGTGTTGCAATATTCCCAGCCACTTTGCATCTTACAAAGTTCATGTGGCAACCAATTGATAAAGGTCAGGGCATATCAGCTCACACTTTCCATCGGCAGTTTTTGTATCAAGAACCAAATTAATTGCAAACATCCTACCAGCTAGTGAACAGGCTTAATATACAATAATGACCAGGCCAATTTACCTATTGATTGTAGTGAATCAACACCGCTTCGACTGAAAGTTGAACAAAAAAGGCACCTTCTGCAGCTGTTGAGCTCCAGACTCGGTTAGTGTCACTCTTTTTGAGTAGGGTTGTTGACTTCGAACAAGCTTGACAGGCCAAATGGACTATTCCTGCTCCTATTTTATGTTTCCTTTCACTTGGTAATTTTCCAGAAGATAAAGGAGAGTGGGCTCCATTCCCAGTCACCCAACAACCCTGACCAAGTCATCAGCCCATTCAGTAACCCTTCCCCCCCCGACTCTCACACACTCCATCACTCATTCACTGAAAGCATACTGTATGGGTGCATAACGGCCTGGTACAGCAACTGCTCTGCCCAGGACTGGCAGAAACTACAGGTGGTGGTTATGCACAGCCCAGACCACCACGGAAGCCAACCTTCCGTCCACGGACTGCATTTACATGGGTCGCTGCCGCAGAAAGGACCCATCGCACCCTGGTAATGACCTCCTACAACCTCTTCCGTCAGGCAGAAGCTACAGGAGGCTGGGCACATGCACAAGTAGGTTCAGGAACAGCTGCTTCCTGGCCGTTATTAGACTGTGGAATAGACTTTCTAGCTCAATTAATGCCGATCATCCTAACATCGATCTTGCTTAGCCCACGTCCTATGCAATGTAACCTGTACGCCCGCAAGTCTTTGTACAACTTCTGATATGTCCTTGTTTACTATGATCTGCCTGTACTGCTTGTAAACAAAGCTTTTCACTACTTCAGTACAAGACAATTCCTGCCACACAGGATGCCCTCACTAACCCATTATCAAGGCATTCCTGTCATGAACCCAGGCTCTCGCTAGGTCTTGCTCACTTACCCCAACACCTAGCCCACAGAACCTGCTTCCATCACTCAGCCCATCCTGCAGCAGGTACCACAGGTTAGCTTTACACAGCACCAGGGACGTAAAACATCCTGGGAACATTAAAACTTCACACCAACAGATATCAGCAGAGACATGAAGGTCTGATCAGAGGTAAAGTTTAAAGAATTTCAGAAGTAGGTGGTTTCAGGATGTATACACAGAGTTTAGAGCTCAGGCAGCTAAAAGGTACAGCCATGAACATGGAACCAAGGAAATGAGATGCACTAGAGTCCAGAGATGTGCAGACATTGTGGAGGGTTGTAGCACTACAGAGAAGGACTGAAACCATGGAAGGATTTGAACATAAGCACGAGAATTTTAAAATCAAGCAATGCCAGGCCAGAATCCACTGGTCATTGAGTGCAGGTGGTGTGTGGGACTGAATGAGGGTTAGGAAAGAGTCACAGATGAATTTTTTTTTAAAAAGAAAAACAGTGCAGTGGGAAAGGCCAGCCAAGAAAGAATCAGAATAGGCAGGTCTTGGTGTATCAAGAGCAGAGGAAAGATCCCTCCTATTTTAATAAAAAAAATACAAGGCAAGCTGAAGGCTGTTTCTTCCAGAGGTTTTATTTCAATTTAAATTAAAAAAAGCATTCTTTAACCCTGTGATTATGTCGCAACACTAGATTGTTGAGGGGTTTCAGCCTGGATGCTTTTGAACAGAAGCCCACAGCGTTGGCTAAAGCCTTTGACAGTTCATTAACTCCCTCCACAGAAGCTTGGAGATGGAATACTCCAGACAGGTGACAGCTCCCACAAAACAAACTAGAGCATGGAAGAGTGGGTGCCCAACTGCAGAGAGGAGCTGGTTGACAAAACGATCTCTTATAAAGACAAAAATAGTGAAAAGGGGATGTCAGTTTGAGTCAAACCCATCTACGGTTATGGCCCGTACAGAGGAGCTCAAGGTAGCTTCCGTCCTGTTTGCAGGTCACAGTATTTCCATCTGAGTTAGTCTGACAGTAAGCAGCACACTGCTTTGAGGGATGTAAGCAGGTTGGATCAAGACCCTCAGAAGTACAGTGGTTACACCAATGTTTCAGATCACCAGCTGAAATCTCAAACATTAATCCAGTAGAATGGCTTTGATCATTCTTGAGCTAATGGGGAGATTTTTGTCAAGAGCATGAACTAAATAGTGTGCTCAAGAAACCATCTGCTGTACTATTATGCTGCCATCAATATAATCACACTGAAATATGGATGCAAATCAAACCTAATGGACTCTTGCAATTTGACAATGCATTTGTTAAACACCTGCAGGGATGCAGTGGGCAAAATAGTAGGCGAGATATCAGAAGTTGACCGCTTCTGAATCAAGTCTACCTGAAGGTTGTTGTACTGGTGGATTGTCACTTGAGTTTTAGGCAAGAGCTGTTTCAAACTTAAATCTTGCCTCAGGAGCACTTGTGAATACAGGAGCAAGGAATTTACAAATAACACAATGTATGCTGATATCAGAGAATGTAACTGTAGGCCTGGGAAACCACGGGTTAAAGTAACTATACTGAATGGAGAACAAGTCTGAGGGATTTTCTGTAGTGGCGGCATACCTGTGTTAACTGCAGCACATTGCTTGCGAGCCCAAGGAGGTGGTGACAAGTTGGCTGACATGTAAATGGAGGTCTAAGAGGCACATGATTCAGCAAGACTGACTAAAGTACTACAGCCGGAGAGGAAAGGGGATAGTGAACTGAGAGTCCTAAATTGCGTTGTGAACACTGCTGCATCACTAAGTGATTTTGTCCGATGTACTACAGAGACCTGGATCTGCATCATCAGTGCTTTAACAAGACCAAAACCAGGGAACTGGAGCACAAGGGATGGTCTGAAATGTACTGAATTTCACATGGCTTGCTTTGCTTTTTAAATGCATGGCTTCAGAGAAAGACTAGTTAAACCGGACATCCAGAACCAGACATGTCAAAATAAACAACATTCCATCAAACAGAGAATTCTTTCCGTAAATGAATTTTGGTTTCAGCTGGCAGGTTTCACACAAGCAGAAGCTATTACGGGTTTTGCTGATGGGCCCCCTTAAAATGTTAACAGAAACCAAAGACTAAAACTGCTGCAAATCTAAAGGTCGAATCATTGTCTGAAAGAGAAAGGGCAAAATACCAATCTCTCTCTTCTGCTGCTCAATCTTCTGGGCAGGCATTTGACCTTCTGATATCATCTGACCATCCCTTAGCCTCCTCGACAAAAATACCACTGAACCTAGACACATCCAAGAGAACGTGTCTTGACACCAACCCTTGGCAACTCTGACATCAAGTGTTGACAACTAGAGTCAGCTCCAGAGCAGAGACACCTTGCTGGGCTTGAAGACAGCAGTTTCTCACATTCCTTCTGTAGGTCAACCATCTCAAATGTTACAGGTTCGTTGACCTCCAGGAGCAGTGCTGTGTAACCAGTCTGACCACCATTGCTTGTGTGGATTTGCCAGCAGAAGCCACTGAGCGGCAATCAGGAGTAGGATCAGAGAGCATATGAGCAACTCAAAAATTTAACATTTTCACCCCCTCAACCTCCAACACCACCCAGTCCCACCACCTCAAGGGCTGAATCTGGAACCTCAGTTCAGGAGCCTGTTTAGTTTTCCAACACTGGTGATATCTTTTTTGAGAGAGATTATCCACTCAACCATCCTACAAAGGGAGTCAAAAGCAAACAGTAAGAAAATAAAACGGGCACAAGTACAGAAATTAGATACACTTCACAACCTGCCCAAAGGGGGAAGAAAGAAGTTAATTGCCATTCGTGACAATGTTAGATTTACAAAGGATAACAATAGTCCCTGACCTCACACCAGAAGACACTCCTTATTTTACCTAGCTCATAGAACCAACGAAGCTTGCAAATACATTGGTGTGGCAGTAATTCCACACTAAGATGAAGAGGAAGAAAATGAAACATCCAGACTCAAGTTAGGGAAAAAAAATTGAAAACAGGAGTTCAAATGAAGGTAGAGAATGCAGATTCAATACACCGAGTGTCAGTAATTCAACCACCAAAAAAAACAACACCCTTGAAACAGCCCTGTAGCCTATTTATGCAATCAAACATTCAGAAGTTTAAAGAGCGAAGCCAATTTTTTAAAACCCCTCCCCAACCCTCTATGAAACAATATATTCACGCAACTATAGTCAGAGATATCAGCTGCAGATGGACAATGACAGCAGAGGCTATCCTTTGGGTGCAAATCCCACCTGCACCTCTCCCCAGAAATATAATTCAGGTTATTTTAGTGCCACTATTGATAAATTTATGAAAGCCAACTATGAGATGGAAAGGCAGTGAACTTGGAGTTCTTAACAGGCCTGTAGCTGGTGAGACCTAAACACCCAAAGTCAGTCTACTTAGAAGAACGCTAACATTTTCAGTGCCCGACCATGGCACTTCCTTTGAAACATCAAAAAAGTTTTTCAGTGTTCCATTTGACAGAATGCCCATGGTGCTTCTACAAGCACATGGCTGAATTTTTAAACACAACACCTGTTTATTCGTGGCTATCAGAAGAGTAACAATTCAAATAATGCAGGCTCCCCTCTGGCCGGACCCAGCTGCAGCAATGTGGTGTAATGGGTAGTTAGTTTTTATGTGCGTATTTTTGTTGTTTTGTTTGTGGTGGGCAGAGGAGATGAGCTGTGTGGGAACAGACAGACAGTCTGACTGACCCAGCCTGTCCCTTCCAAGTTACCAGATGAATCTGTCGGGCCGATCTGGCGCTAGGCCTTGGCTTCTTTTCCTGAGGTTGGGGGAGGCGGGGGGAGCGAGAAGAAAAATAGGAAGCAAAAGAAAATGTTATCCGTGTGCACAGCATGCAATCATACACATTACTTTCATCATTTTACACTTTTTTTTAAAAACATTTGTTCTCTGCGCCCTTGCCCCCTGAAAACTTCAATACACAAGTCACAGGATTGTGATCTACATGCACCCGTTTCTCCATGTGCGTTCAGATGTGTGTGCACTCCTCGCAGCTAGCGTGAGGATGGTCGTGGAGCTTCAATTCCCAAATCCCACTATTTTTGGAGGAATCTACATGGTTTGGTTGGGGGTGGGGAGGTGGACTCAGCAGAACCCAGCATGGATTCAAACTCCTTCATCTAAGGTACAGCCTGGCAAAGGAGACTTGCACCCCTCCACTGTCAGTCATTTCATTTTGTGCTAATTTGAGTGTAGCCATCAAGGTACGAATTCCTTATAACCAGCACATCCCATCCCCAGCCCTTTAACTCGACCAATTTCCTGGTCTCAACAACCCAGATCAGACTCCAATCCAGCACTCAACAGACACTCGTTAAATTAAACCCATCACTGACCTTTCTTCTCATTCTCCCGCTTCTTGGCTGCATCTTCCCGCTGCTTCCGAATGATGGCGAGCCGTGCCAGGTCAGCACGCGCTTGTTCAGTCTTCCCCTCAAGATGGAGTTTCATATACCTCTCCCGGGCTTGCTGCTTCTCTATCTCCTCCCTGAAACAAAGAGGATTGAGAAGTTAAATAAAATTATAATAGCTGAGTAACATATTCAATGTTTTATCCTCCAATGCCCTCTGAAGAACAAAGATTTAGAAGCAGTGGTCATTCGGTACCTCAAGTCTGTTCTAGCATTTGATAGAATCACAACTGCTCTGATTACAGCCTCAACTTCACTTTCCTGTCTACCCTTGAGCTCTGTGGCAGTCAAAAATCAATCTCGAATATACTTGATGCCCTGATCTTGAATAGTTTTAACTTGAGAGCGCAATTAAACTTTTATTACTCGACTGTAAAGCAACTGACTTCTGAACTGATTAAACAAACACTGGGGTCACATCATGGCAAGCCATAGAGGGAATGCGTTCTTGCAACTTTTCTTTGAAAAAGGGCCGATCCTAATGGAAATGGAGTGAGCTCCGATTTAAGATGCACGGGATTGGGTTGCAATGCCAAGAAATAGTTGGCAATGGACGAGTGAGGGTCAGTGCGCAGTGGGATATGGGCTGTTTTGGACAAGCTGAAGTTCACAGCAAGTAAAAGGTGGGAGAAAGTATTGCTGCTTCTAGATGTGATTTGCTGCAAAGATTTTAATTCTTTTATGGGGGGTTGCTGGTAAGGCAAGCATTGCCCATCCCCAATTGCTCTTGCTCACAAGAGAGAAGAGACACGTATAGGGAAGGCCAGGTAAGAGCAGCAAATTTCATTGCTTCAAAAGTCAATTAGTGAACCAGGTGGGTTTTTAAAAATCACAATTAGTAAGTTGTTAGGGACTCCAGATTTAATTACTGAATATCAAATGCACCTCCCCGCTGCAGCTTAAACTGAAGCAAGTCAGGGCTTAATTACAATTATAATACCATTACACTACTGTCTCCTCCAGTGGGTATGAAGAAATGCTTCAGGGGCAGACAGGCTGAAGTGAGACGAACGACACTTTCAGAACAGAGACAAACCAAGCCAACAGAATGTTGAGGCTGAAAATTAATTGGCTGAGTGGCACAGTGGCTCAGTGGTTAGCACTGCTAACTCAGAGCCACAGACCTGGGTTCAATTCCAGCACTGGGTGACTATGGGAAGCTTGCATGCTCTCCTTGTGTCTGCATGGGTTTCCGCCCTCAGTCCAAAGATGTGCAGATTAGGTGGATTGGCCGTGCTAAAATTGTCCATAGTGTTCAGATGTGCATGCTAGGTGGATTAGCTAGGGTAGATGTGGGTTTACAGTGTACGTTGGAGGACCGGGTTTGGTGGGATGCTCTTCGGAAGGTCAGTTGCAGACTCGATGGGCCAAATGGCCTCCTTCCACGCTGTAGGATTTCCATGGTTTGAAGATAGTGGATGAGGATAGAGATGGAGCAAATGACAGCAGCATGGGTTGTTGGTGTACATATTCTGCATGGTGCATTTGCCGATAGAGTAGTTATGAGAGACTTCATTAAAGATTACACGTTTAAATGGGACAGGAGGCCGAACCTTTTCTTTACCTTTCTCGCCTGCTGAGCTCACGGTTTGGGGGATTAAGATCCAAAGCAGTAACTTTCTTGTTCTTCTGTACTACGCGGTTTGGGTTCTCAATTTCTATTAAACCTTCCACCCCTTTCTTCTTGGGCTGTGACGAGGGAAGAAAATGATTCAATCTCACCAGGATTGAAATTAGCTTGATGAACGAATCAAACAACAAAAATCCTTTCTTCCAAACAAACAAAAAACTGACAAGAAACATCTACAGTATGCTTAAAAAACAAAACACTGCCTGCACCCAATGTTAATCGGTCCTTTTGTTTGGATGCTGATACCTACAAGTGACATAGCAATGAGCAACAAGTGGCTATTTGTGCTTTTCTGCCTCCCTGATGTCCACAGTGGTCCTTCAAAGATTACAGGGTAGATTAATCAACAGGTACTCTGATTTTGCCTGTGACAAAGACATGGATCTGAATACCAGCACTTGGGCACTCAGGCAAGAGTAGAGTTAACATCCTACCAGATGACTAAAGATTACACGCTACTTGGGTAGGACATGAAACTCACTACCAGGTGGAATGGTTGAGGTGAATAGTATTCACACCATTAAGGCAGTACGAGAGAAACAGGAGGGAAAAGGGAATTGTAAAATCAGCTGATGGGTTGAGGAGATGTGTGAAACATATAGTGATCATGTGCTGTAAATTCTATGTACTAGCAGTACCAAAACAGAACAGTACAAGGCTTGGACTTTCCTAGATAGAGGTCACAGGTTGGCAGACTGTACGTCATCTCTCCATCAATGGCTTCTGGCAGATTTACTGCATCTGCCTCTTAGTCTTCATTGGCAGTTTCTATAGGAACTAAAATCAGTCTTATTTACTGTACCTTTTCTTTGGTGCTCCCTGTGGGGGTGGGCAAGGAAATTACATGAAGCACAAAATTCAAAATAAAAAGGACACAAGTTATGCTGCATTTATACAAAGCCATGGTTAGACACCACAGAATCCTGAGAGCAGATGTGGGCACCACACCTTAGGAAGGATATACTGGCCTCGGATGAAGTACAGTGTAGGTTTACAAGAATAATACCTCGGCTTCAGGAGTTAAGTCCGAGGCCAGACTGTACAAATGAGGCCTGTTTTCAGTAGAAATTTAGAAGGTTCAGAGGCAATCTGATCAAAACAGTCAATATATTTACAGGAACAGACAGGATAGATTAAAAAAACATTTTCACTTGGTTGGGGATTCTAGAACTAGGGGCATTGTCTAAGAATTAGGGCCAGATCATTCAGGAGAGATCCAGGAAGCACTTCTACACACAATGGTTGAGAGGGGTTTGGAACAAATAGCTGTGGATGCTGGATCAGTTGTTAGTTTAAATCTGATTTTTTTCTTGTTAAGCAATGTTATTAAGTGATATGGGTCAAAGCAGGTATAGAGAGTTGGGCCAAAGATCAGCCATGATCGCACTAAATGGTGGAACAGGCTTAAAGGGCTGAACAGCCTACTCCTGTTCCTAAGCATTTCCAAATGAATAATAGAACCCCAGCAAAATTAAACCAACATAAAAGGACAGTTGCTTCTTTGGGTAGGAACATGAGAACCTGGGCCCCGCTTGACAACTGCGAAACTTAGCATATGAGGAAATTATTCATCACTTTGTAGGGAAATGTTGTCATGCAGTCTCTGACCAACATTATTCCTGGAGATGTGGTCTGCCCAGCCATAATACCAGGTCACATTGTACCACTCTACAAACAGAGATCCACCTCAGAACACACTCCGTTCAGTCAGTCACTAACCTAATCTTCGAACACATTTCAACATACAGTAGCAAGTGGGATGAGGGGGGTGGCGGAAATGAGCAGGCTAAAGTTCCTGCACTCTGATAAACACTGCTGAAAACTGTATTTTGAGGAAAGGATCAATTTGAGGAGTTATGCACAAGACGGTAATCTAGAGACAGCAAGCACTCAGACTCAAAGAACAGAGCTGACTCAGTGGCCTATCAGAGAATACTGGAAGATCTGCACTATAAAATATCCTGGGGCTAAGGGATGGGGGAAGTGGGCGTGAAAACTAACTGCACAAAATGCAACCAAATAGTTCTGAAGCAAGAAATGAATTACAAAACAGTAACAACAGCTCACCAGACATGAAGCTGCCAAGAGTAAATGGCTAGCATCTGTCAGGATAATAAGAACCTAGCCAGATATAACGAAAAGAATATTAATTATCACTTTCAGAGTCAAGGGCACTCACCTCCAAATCATCTTCACTGCTGTCAGAATCAGGATCACTTGCATTTTCGGGCTGGTCTCTTGCCTATAGGTTTAAAAACAGATGGACAGCAACAGATAGAATTCACTGGTTAAATCTATAATCTAGAACTGGGAGGAAGGGAGGTAAAGGGCATGAGAAAATTAAGTCCTTTACTTGCTCCACTGTCTGCAAACATCAGTTGTACACTGTCCTACAATCAACACCACCACCTTGCATACCAATTTAACATTCTTCTTTGAGTTTGGTAGCTGCTTACGACTAGTTTTGCAGTGCCCATGTCGAACTGGGGGATGGGGGTGAATACTGCCCTAGTTCTCAAACATTAACATATTGCAAAATTATTTGGTTTTAATTCAAGTTGAAGAACAGAAAACATTGTGTGCTTTGCCTAAAATACATGGTCAGATAGAACTCTGATGCAGAATAACCCATCTTCTCTCCAGTATTAGTGTGCCAGTTGGACAAATGGGCATTGCAGCAAATTGTCCCTTAACCTATTTCACACCATTGCAATACAGGGGCGTTTACATTCTGGAAGGAAAAAGACCACTATCTCCATAACCCATGGCACTACCTATTTCCTCTTCCATTTGCTCCCCAAAGCTCAACCTGAACTCCAATTTCAACGGTTAAATGAACATTGAGTCTCAGCAAAGGAACCCTCACAATGCATCACATAATGACCTTGAGTTGCAAGTTGCTAATCAAAAGCTTTTTAACCAGAAAAAGCTCTGCTATTCATGCCTTCTTTATGCTTTTCCTTAAAACCTTCCCCACTGAGGTGGGTCACAGACCTAATGTTGGCTTGGCATCAAATTATTTGATGAAAAGTTGTGAAGAGTCTTGGGATGATTTACTACAGTAAAAGGAGCTTTATAAATGCAAATTGCAAGAGCTGCAACGCTTCAGCACTGCCAACATTTAAAGTACCCAATGGGCAGAAGTGCCCTGTAGATTACCAACTCAGTTATGGAGTATCAGACACTTGCCTTTTCTTTCTCTGCTTTCATCTGCGCATCAATCTCATCTGGGTTCGTGAACTGCTTTGCCCTCCCTTTGTGTCCTCGTTTACCTGCAGGAATCGAAGAAAAACACATTCCCGTTAGAAGTTGCAAACAAGCAGATGGGATAGTGTGCAGTCAAGGTTTGAAATCTGTGAATTCAGACCTTGGGTTTTAAAAACAGCAATCTCCGAGTGTGCAAGAATTCCTCAATATTCAGTCACATTCTTCAAAAGAAAGTGTTTTCTAGTTTTACCACAAATTGAACCCTGGATAAAGATTTGGCTTAACTGCAAGGTTTATACTTTTTATAAATTACCATTGTGGTTTATCTCTCCATCCACCACCCCCAACCAAATTTCAACTATACCTGGAAAGTACTTGAAGATGTACTGAGGTTACAAATTGGTACAAAAATGTCTTGTCTTTTGAAAATCTACTTGTAGAAGTCACATTATGTTTAATCATCCTGCTCCAGAGACCACTGCAAGTGTTGCCTTGCAGGTACGTGCAAGGCAGTATCCAAAATGTTTCACATTTAAAACAGGGAGGGGGAATAACCCTATCCCTTGTAAGCATTTAAAGCAAATCCAAGGAGCTAGCAGCAGATTTCTGGCTTTGGACTCTATGCAGTCTCAAACTATAGAAACTTCAGTGCATTCTCCCGATCACAGATTTAATATCAGCTTAAAGCAGAGATAACTTGCTAACCAGATCTTTTTAATTCTTATTTTCACAATCACTGTAGTATACTGGGCTGCAAATCAAAAACAATTGTCCCACTCTGGAACAATGAGCATAAAATTTAGACCAAAACTTCCAGTGCCAGAGTTGAGGAAATACAACACTGTCTTTCAGATGAGACACTGCACTGATGCTTCTTCATTTCTCTCAGGTAGATGCAAAAGTTCCCCCCAAGGCCACTATACGAAGAGCATGGGAGTTCTCCTAGGATCTTGGAGAATATTTATCTCTCAATCAAGACTGCGAGCACATTGAAGACTTGTGGAGCATTACTGTGGCTGGAATTCCAATGCCGCAAGCATTTCAAAAAGCCTTTATCCATCTGTAAATCTTACATTCGGAAAGGTGGTATAGAAAATGGGTGCTATATGCATGCAGTTGTTGTTTCTTCCTATAACTTGCCAGATATTTAATGCACTGACATAATCTTAAAAACACCAACCAGGGAAATGGCAGAAATTAATTTGCAAAACACAGCTCAAGAATAATTTTATCCCACTGACAGAAACATATTCCAATTGGGATATTTGCAACAAGTTTAAAAGAGGCAAAACTCTAAATTACAAAAAAAGTACACATTTTAATCACAATCACTCTAAATGCAGTGAAGCTGTATCACTGACACAGGAATTCGGTAACAAATACTGCCAGGTTGGAATTCTCGATAGAAACCGCAACCGCTAACAATCTTTTTATCAACAGAATGAAGAAAACCAACAATCTCCATTTTGTGAAATGATCACTTGGTTCACCATGGAGGTTATAGGATGACAATCTTTAAAGAATGGTTACAAGAGTCCATCTCCTGGAGCTGAACTTCAGGCATAGCAATCAGCCTGCATGTCAGTGATATCACCATGGTTGTGTCACATCTTTCCTTGCAATCTTATAGTCAATGCTCTTCATTTAGAACCGCACTGGAAGTGGGCCCTCAGACTCAAACACCAATTCAAATGGAGCATTTAACATAGTAACAAGAAACAGGAGCAGGAGCAGGCTATCTGGTCTATCGAGCCTGCTCCACAATTCAATAAGATTGTAGCTAATCTTTTTGTGGACTCGGTTCCAATTTCCTGCTCGCTCACCGTAGCCTTTAATTACTTTACTGTTCAAAAATCTATCTTTGCTTTAAAACATTCAATGAAGTAGCCTCAACTGCTTCACTGGGTAGGGAATTCCATAGATACACAAACCTTTGGATGAAGAAGTTCCTGCTCAACTCAGTCCTAAATATGCTCCCTTATTTTGAGGCTATGTCCCCAGTTCCATTTTCAACACCCCAGTGGAAACAACGTCCCTGCTATCATATCTATTCCTTCCATAATTATGTATTTTTCTAAGATTCCTCCCCCCGCCCCATTCTTCTAAATTCCAATGAGTATATTCCCAGTCTACTCAATCTCTCCTCATAAGGCAATACTCAATTCCGGAATCAACCTAGTATACCCCCTCCAGTGCCAAATCTCTATATATTATACAGTCATAGAGCTGTACAGCATGGAAACAGGCCTTAAGTCCAACTCAGCCATGCTGACCTGATATCCTAAATTAATCTGGCCCCATTTGCCAGCATTTGGCCCATATTCCTCTAAACCCTTCTTATTCATTTCCCATTCAGATGCCTTTTAAATGTTGTAATTGTACCAGCCTCCTCCACTTCCTCTGGCAGCTCATTCCATACATGCACCACCTTCTGTGTGAAAAGATTGCTCCTTAGGTCCCTTTTAAGTCTTTCCCCTCTCACCTTAAACCTATGCCCTCTAGTTTTTGACTCCCCCACCCCAGGGAAAAGACCTTGTCTATTTATCCTATCCATGCCCCTCATGATTTTATAAACTTTTAAGGTCAGCCCCCGTTGCTCCAGGGAAAATAACTCCAGCCTATTCAGCCTCTCTCTATAGTTTAAACCCTCCAATGCTGGTAACAGCCTCGTAAGTCTTTTCTGAACCCTTTCAAATTTCACAACTTCCTTCCTATACCGGGGTGCACACAGTATTCCAAAAGTGGCCTAACCAATGTCCTATACAGATACAACATGACTTCCCAACACCTATAGTCAATGCACTTACCAATAATTGCAACCATACCAAATGCCTTCTTCGCTATCTATGCCTATCTACCTGCGATTCCACTTTCAAGGAACTATGAGCCTGTACTCCAAGATCTCTTCATTCAGTAACACTCCCCAGGACCTTACCATTAAGTGTATAAATCCGCCCTGATTTGCCTTATGAAAATGCAGCATCTCATTTGTCTAAATTAAACTCCATCTGCGACTCTTTGGCCTATTGGCCCATCTGATCAAGACTTTGTTGTACTGAGGTAACCTTCTTCACTGTCTACTACACTTTCAATTTTAGTGTCACCTACAAACTTACTAACCATACCTCATGTTCACACTGAAGTCATTTTAAAGACTGCACTTTCACCTGTTGAACTACATTAGCTCCTGCATCTCCAACACATCAATTTTTAAATTCTCATGTTGTGATTAAATGGTTCTTCCATAATATCCTCTAGACCTACATCTTTTCCAAACTATTTCTTTCCCTGTATTCTCACCAACTCAAACACTGACAACTATACTGTCAAATACATTGGCCACATTCTAAATTCCTCCCCCTCTGCCTCTGCCTCTGACCACACAAGCCTTGAAAGCCCACCTCATCGGCAAGTTTCGGATTGTTACCTTGGCACTTTACAAGTGACACCAAAAAGGTAACAGGTTAGCACACAGCACAGAATAACCACACAAACACACGCACTCTCAGACAAGCTGGTCAGATACTCCCTTCCTCTGTTCCAGCCAAACTGTCTCTGGAACCTACAGTGCTGTAGGCTCTAACCAGAAGTAGAAAGGTGCTGTCAAAGAGGTGGTAGAATGAACCTATGCAAGTTAGGGGCATCATGCGACCAGTGATGAAAGCTGTGACAAAAGGTCACTGGGCTGCAATTTCATTGACGAAAGCACTGTTTATTCTACTTCTTGTTAAAGCCAGACTGCATAGTCACGTAGTGAAAATAGAGTCTTAAGGGGCACTCATCCTTTTTTCCACCTCCTTTAAGCCATTGTCTCAATTGGTGTTTTGCTGTTGCTTCATATCCATGCTGTGCATGGGATTCAGGACCCTGGAACAAGCTTGTGATGTCATGGAGCTGTTCCTCACTGGACATAAATAGCACAGTTGAGAGAAACACAGTTGCTAGGCAAAAACCTAAGTGTAGCCTTGTGAATATTAGAAACATATTGAGAAGCATATGGAATAGACTGACCAACATCAGGCAGTATAGTTTATAGAACTGACTTTCTAGAAGGCAACTACAAGTTCTGAGCCTAGTATATCTCTGAATACCATATATTGTAGTAATGAGTCTTAATATGAAAGATGTTATAAAGAGGCCCGAGACAGAATACAGCACTTGACCTTGTCTTCATCTCCACTACTTTATATTCAACCCAAGCTCATGGATGTGGCATAAAGTCACAATAAAAGAATATGAATTCTCTTTTGCTTCACTCCTACTACCTCAATTGCAATAACTGTCGATTCCGCATCTTATCGTAAAGATGCAATCAGAATATTTCCTATGCAAACTTTGGCAATAGTGAAGCCATATTTATCTGGTGATCTCAGCTACCTGACACAAAGTAATGTGGAACTTAAGATCACCCCTATAGCAATAACGTGCAAAATAAATTCCAGATTGCCACTTGAACACAACTTAGTGCTTCGTGAGGGTTTATTAATTGCCAGACATTTTTGTAATAATGCAATCCTGTTCAACAAATGCAACAATCCCTTTCATACACATTGGACTGCCTGCTTTGTACAGCTATATCCATTTATTTATAAAATCGCTTAACTGTGATTCTCTTGAACAACACTAAAGCCACATAATCATGATTACCAAAATACTTTTGACTGAAAATTTAGACTTCCTAACTTTAATGTGCTTTATTTGTTGCATTTCCCAATTATGTGAAGTGTGATGCTCAGGAACCTTACTTTAGTCACCCCAAAGCAAATATTTGTGCCTCAGAATCCAATTGAGTTCTTAGGTAATAACTAGTTTCCACCCATTTGGGGGTGAAGGAGAAAGGAAAAGCAAATTCCTAGATGGGGAACAAAAGATTTGACAACCTCATGTAGGCAAGTGAATTTTCTTAGTAGTTTCAAGGAAGTAGACTAGGACATCAAAACACAAAGCGGCTAGAAAAGCTCAGCAGTATCTGTGAAGATAGTAACAGAGTTGTCGTTCTGACTTGAACGTGACTCTGCCTCAGATATGCAGTTCTTAAGAGTCACATTAGAATTCTACAGGTACAATCTAATATC